GGGAGAGACAGAGCGAGAGAGAGAGAGAGAGAGAGAGACCGAGAGGAAGAGAGGGAGGGAGAGAGAGAGCGAGAGAGAGAGAATGAGAGAGGGGGGAGAACTTTAGCCCCAAACCTAGCGTTAAACCAAACCGCAATTTTCACCCCACACACGATTGACACACACACACACACACACATGACCCTGATGCACCAGTATTAAAACAGTATTAAAAGGTAACTTAACCGGTATTAAAGTATTAAAACAGTATTTATGAAATAGTTCACGCGTCGACCAAATACCTGACTGTCCACACCGAGCAGCAGGATCATGATGAAGAAGAGAACTGCCCAGACAGGAGCGGCAGGCATCAGGCTGACGGCTTTCGGGTAAGCTATAAACGCTAGACCAGGTCCTGTAGAAGAGACACTTGTGAGACATCACACGCGCGAAATTACGCGTGATTTACATATTGCCGTTGAAGAGTTCTGCGCGGATTTTGGCTGTTCATACTCGGAAAGGAAATGATCAGTCATATGTTACTTTAAGTTTCCAAGTTCTCATTTAACATTATTAATTATCATTGCTCCATTATGACAGAAATGCTCCAATGAACTTATATGATATCGATAGATTGGTGGGAAATCGTGTGTTTAATATGGTAGAACGTTGGGACATATCAGTAGTTTTATAATGCTTACTTTCTTGTCGGAGGACGCAACTGAGAGACCAAACGCGGCTCGTGCAATATATATATGAAGGTTTGATGTCTGTGCTTACCAGCGGCAGCGACGTCCTTGACTTCGACTCCCAGCACATTCGCCATGTATCCGAGCACAGAGAAGATGACAAAGCCAGCGTAGAGACTAGTGAAGCTGTTGACGACGCAGATGATGAGCGAATCTCTGCAAATCAAATCGAAAAATATCCGCATTACATCTCTCTCTCTCTCTCTCTCTCTTCTCGATCAGTCGTCATCTCTCTCGTCATCTCGCTCGTCGGCTCTCTCTCTCTCTCGTCTCTTCATTCTTTCCCGTCCTCGCTCCTGCTCTCCGATCTCATCCTCTGCTCTTTCTTCTTCGTCGCTCGTTCGTCTCCGTCTCAACTTCTACTGCTTATCTCTCCCTNGTCTATCTTTCTCTCTCTCCCTCTCCCTCTCTCCCTTTCTCTCTCTCTCTCTCTCTCTCTCTCTCTCTCTCTCTCTCTCTCTTTCTCCGTCTCTACCTATCGCCTCTCGTTCGGTGTAAGCTGTTTCCCTCGTCAGTATTGATCACTCTTCCCTTTCTTGCCTCGTTCTCTCTCTGTCTCTCTCCCGCTCTATCTTCCCCTTCTCTCGCTCTCTGTATCTCGGTCTCTCTCTCTCCCGCTCGCTCTCGGACGCACGCCGCGACGCTATGCCACCACTCTGTCGGTGACAGCCGGCTTTTAACTGGCAGCTCGTCTTACGCAAGTCTCGTGGCGCGTGGCGTCCGATGCTGGGCCATCCTACTATGAGCGGATCAGCTTTCACGGGCGACGGAAGCCACCGTGTGGCACTCCGCTGACGTGGAGTTGGTGGTGGAGGGGGAGGGGGCGGGGTTGACCCCCGACGCGTGGCAGACGCGGGTGCCCCGGCTATGGCTCGCTCTCGCACGATCTGGTTTTCTCTCTCTTGCGCGCTCTGTCTGTGGGGTTCTCTCTCTCTCTCTCTCTCTCTCTCGCTCTCTCTCTCTCTCTCGCTCTCTCTCTCTCTTGCTCTCTCTCTCTCTCTCTCTCTCTCTCTCTCTCTCTC